GCCCCCAATTCTCTGTGCAGTACTTCTGTACTTCTGTACCACACAGCTCACAGAGTCACAAGCCTGGCCAGCCCTGGAGGCACCCCCTACCTGGAGGCACCCCCTTAACCAGAGGCACCCCCCTACCTGGAGGCACCCCCCTAACTGGTGGCACCCAGGGCGGACCGGACCGCCCCCTTCCCACATACATACATACATACATATACACACGGTGTGTGCTTGTGCTTTAGGGTGCACACCCTAATGCAATAGGCTGCGCACCCCTATGGGTGGCATCCTGTCACAGTACCATGCTATAATTCACTGGGCTCTTCAGAACGACCCATTTTTTTCACAAATGTTTATGAATTCAGACTATTCTGGCGAAATATTTGACATTATACACGTGGCAATGGGTCTGATTGAATCACCTGAATTCAACAATTAAGATGTGTGTCCCAATACTTTTGTCCGTACAGTGTATAAATATCAAAGCTTCAGTCCTGCATTCTGTCTTGTATCCTTACAATGTTCACAAGACCATTTTAAAGGCGCCTGCCCTTGTGATTTCCTTTATCTAAGCACAGTCTACATCCGCAGGATCAAATTTTTTCATGTCTGAAATTTAATAACCGTTTCCTATATTTATCCCACTGCTGCAATGAAAACACCGTAGTCACACTTCAATTTAAAGTTGCTGCATCACCCATGGACCAATAAGCATTGTAACAAAAACAGCAGCAGGGTGAGCTCCTTTGCGAACATTCTGAGGACTTTGTACATTGTAAGCAGTGAGTTTGTTAGTGAGCCATAAGTCAGAGAGAACCAACATATCATGTCATCCTGCCTAAAAAAGTAGCCTTTTAGAAACTGAAGATAATTACTGAGATATCTAAGATGGGATATATACAGTTATAGGGATAGCAGTAACTATATAATATTGGATTTGCAAGTCATGTGATTTTATTCATACAGCCCAGTAAATGAATAGAGTTTTTACATCAGTTGCTGGGGAAAAAAATTTATCATATGTTGTAGAACTGAAAAGGCGACCAACAGTCTGTGATTTAGGGGATATATGAGACTTTTTCATGAAGTCCTAAAAACAATATGGTATTTCACAGTTCAGAGTGCACTGTAGCTTCAGAAGCACAAATTAATTTTCTTGTGACTTTTTGTTCTAACCTTTCCATTCTGCCCTTGGATAGATTAATGCAGGGGCTATTGGAGTTGAAGCTCTAGGCATTCACACTGCAATAGGTCCATGATGCCCTACTTTTTTTGTTTTTTGTTTTGGTTTGCTGCTGCCCTGGACTGCTGGGTGCCCTCCTCATAGCATGTGTCCAGGGAAGCATCATGACTGCACATCATCTACCATAATGGATCATCTCCCATAATGGAAACAGTTTCAAGCGGTGATCATGTGTGCTCACATCAATAGTGTGGCTGTAGTATTCTGACAGCGGGACATGTAGATACACTGTGAGTACCGCTAACAGTGCCAAGTGATAATGTCAGATAAAGCCTCCAGTACAATTCACCGATAATTACCTTCAAACAGCACCATGAGAAAAGTGAAGTAATAAATACAGATTTATACAGTATCTCTCTCCTAACTGATCCCATATCTGAACTAAATGTGAATCAAACAAGATAAGCAGGACAACTGGTAACAAGTTACAAATGTCAGTCAATGCAAATATATAGGAGGAAACAGGCAAGCACAAACATTTTGGAGTATAATAAAAAAAGACAAAAAATACAACATATTACGTGTGACAGTGGCCAGGCCCGTACTGGCCATCGGGCATATCGGGCAAATGCCCAGTGGGCCGTTTTGGCCGTGGTGGAGATCTGAGCACCGGCCCTACTGTGTGCCTTCATGTATCTGGGGGCTGCGCGGGTAGGTGCCACCGGGTGGCCGGTCCGCTGGCACACTCTGGGGGGCTGGCCGCGCTGGAGCTGCTGGGCCGGGTGGCAGCCTCACCGGTTCGGCGGCACTCCTGTCACTAATGCTGAGGACTGAAGGAGGAGGGAGCATGTCTCTCTATCATGCTCTCTCGCAGTTCCCACAATTCCCAGCACTGTAAGATGTGCTGGGAAATGTGGAAACCGCTAGGGAGCATGATAGACATGTTCCTCCTTCAGTTCTCAGCATTGGTGACAGGAGTGCCACCAGAATGGCGAAGCTGCCATCTGGCTTGGCGGCTCCAGCGTGGAACGCGGCCGGCCTCCTCTGACTTCTCTCGGTAAATGGGAGGGAGAAGAAAGGGAATAGAGAGACACAAGGGGAGGGGGAAAAATAAAACAGAGAGGGAATAAATAGACGCAGGGAAAGAGACAGTGGGACCCCAGCAGACCCCAGGTCAGTTGTCAAACTGTTCTTAAACGGTTTGACTACTTACTCTGGGAGGGGGTCCCGGCACTCCTGGCACCATAACCACTACACAGAGCAGTAGTGGTTATTGTGCATGGATTATTTCTTTAAATAATCTACAAGTGCCCCTCCCAGGATCAGGCTCTGGATCTGCCACTGGTATATGACATGTGTGTATTAGTATATATATATATATATATATATATATATATATATATAATTATGCCTGTTATATTTACACATATATTAATGTACATTTATATATGATAATATAATCAGATGTCGTGAGAGTGAACTCTATCCCCGCAGGCTAGAGTTCACTCACTACTAGGACCACCAGGGACTGCAGAACAGCCCCCCTCCCTGGCTAAAGGTAAGAAGGTAGGGGGGATATAAAGTTTTGTTTTGTTTTAGTTTAAAAAAGTACATATTTAATATATTTAAATCTGTCCCCCCAAACACAATTCCTCCAAACATATTTACACTCACACTAACAGCACACACACACGCACACACACACACACAGCACCCTCATACACACAGCACCCTCAGACACACACAGCACCGTCACACACACGGCACCCTCACATACAGCACTCTCACACACAGCTCCCTCACACACACACACACACACCACCCTCAGACACACACACAGCACCTTCACACACACACACACACACACACACACAGCACCCTTACACACAGCACCATTACACACACAGCACCCTCACACACACACACAAACACACATATATAATATATAAAATAACCCTCAGTGAGTAAACAGACAAAGAAAATTAGAAACGTAGAATGTGACGGCAGATAAGAACAGCCACACACTGCACCCCTTACACACACACATACTGCATCCTTCATACATACACACAGCACACCCAACACGCTGCGCCCTTCACACATACAATACATCCAAACATATATGTATATATACCACAGCACCCCTAACACTGCACCACTACACACATTATGCTTCAGATACACGATAGATCCCTTACCCAACTCTGGATCATCTAATTCACACACACTAGATCCCTATATACACTCCAAATCCTCTATACACACACACACACACACACAATCTCCTATACACACTCTGGGTCCTTTACACACTAGATCCCCTACACACACACACACTACACCACCTACACACACTACATTCCTGACATACAAACTCTGGATCCTCTATGCACACACAACATTCTTTGTAAGCAAACACATCATACAATCTCTAAACACACACCTACACGCACTATGTCACCTACACACACACACACAGAAACACTACAGCCCGTATGCACACACTCGCTACATCCTCTATACACACTATGCCCCCTATACACACACTCTCTACAGCCCTTAGCCACACATATTACACCACAAACATGAATGAATTCGACCTATTACACAATACCACACCACAATCAGCTCACTCTACACACACGCAATCCCACAAGCAGGCTCCAAACATATGCACCATACGCTTTCCTGGCCCTTTTGTCCTCTGGTATCCCACTTATGGAGACACCAGAGAAAAGTTAAAAGCAAACACAGCGCAAGCATGTTATTAAATTTGCTTGCGCTGTGCAGAACAAATACAGGGCCTTTTTCCCATGCTAGAGCTCTTCAGCAGGGCTCTGCACATTGAACAAACACGCTCCTCTCAGGAGGCCGCTGTGATTGAAAAATGCCCGGGACGAATTTTTTTCCCAGTCCGGCTCTGACAGGGGCTAACCTAAAACACAGACTTGTTTACATTTTTTCTTGTTACATGATTAGTTTACTTGCTTTGTTTTAACCCCTTCCCGACCGAGGACGGTTCAGGACCGTCATCGGGATTTTCCCATTGCGGACCGATGACGGTCCTGAACCGTCCTAACGGTTTCCGTTACTTACCTGATCGCCGTCGTTCCCCCGGCGGCGATCAGCGTTGCTCCCGGTGTGGGGAGACTGCCTGCAGCCCAGACAGTCTCCCCACACTGATTTAGGACCCCTGGGGCCATGTAATCGCTTAACACAGCGATCACATGGTCACAATGGGTGTCCTAGTGTCTGCCTGCAGGGGGACTGCCTGTGCTGACAGGCAGTCTCCCTGCTAGTGTAAAATAAAAAAATAAAAAAAAGTTAATGTTAATAAAAAAAATAATAATAATTATATATGTGTATATATGATATATAGACATATATTATATTTATATAATATATGTCTATATATCATATATATAATGCCATACTAAGTGTATTTTTATATTAATATGTACTTATATTAATATAAAAATACACTTATAATTAAATTACACACGTATATATATAATATATATAATAACTATATAGATTGTATATATATATTATTATAAAATATAAATAATAAGTAATTTAAATTAAATAAATTTTTTTAAAAATAATAATAAAAAATTTTACAAAAATTATATAGCTATATGAAATTTTATTCTAACTGTATTTTAAAATTAATATATATATATTTATATCAAAATACACTTAGAATGAATTTGTATATATATCTATGTATATAAAAATAAATAAAAATAATACGAAATATACATATGTCCATATACAAAATTACATAAATAATTATATAAATATACACGTAGACTTCAAATATATAAATATGCATATATATTTAAATTCTACGTGCGTATTTATGTAATATTTTTACATAATTCAGTAATTTTATTGATTGCAATTTGAGGGACCTGCCTGCCAACCCAGGCCGAAATTCCAGAGAATTTAATTTGCTAGCACTGTATTTTACCCTGTAACGTTCTACGACACCCTAAAACCTGTACATGGGGGGTACTGTTTTACTCGGGAGACTTCGCTGAATACAAATATTAGTGATTCAAAACAGTAAAACATATCACAGCGATGATATTGTCAGTGAAAGTTACTTTTTTTGCATTTTTCACACACAAACAGCACTTTTACTGATGATATAATTGTTGTGATACGTTTTCCAGTTTTTAAACACTAATATATGTGTTCAGCGATGTCTCCCGAGTAAAACAGTACCCCCCATGTACAGGTTTTATAGCATTTTTGAAAGTTACAAGGTCAAATACATGGGTCAAATATTTTTACATTGAAAATGGCCAGGTTGGTTACGTTGCCTTTGAGAGCGTATGGTAGCCCAGGAATGAGAATTACCCCCATGATGGCATACCATTTGCAAAAGAAGACAACCCAAGGTATTGCAAATGGGGTATGTCCAGTCTTTTTTAGTAACCACTTGGTCACAAACACTGGCCAAAATTAGCGTTCAATTTAGTTTTTTTACTTTTTTCACACACAAACAAATATGAATGCTTACATTGGCCAGTGTTTTCGACTAAGTGGCTACTAAAAAAGACTGGACATAACCCATATTGAATACCCTGGGTTGTCTACTTTAAAAAAAATATGTACATGTGGGGTGTTATTCAGAGATTTATGACAGATAATAGTGTTACAATGTCACTATTGATAAATTTTAAAAATGCATGTTTTGAAACCGCAATATCCTACTTGTACCTATAGCCCTATAACATGCAAAAAAAAGCAAAAAAGCTCGTAAACACTGGGTATTTTTAAACTCAGGACAAAATTTTGAATCTATTTAGCAGTTTTTTTCATTCGCTTTTGTAGATGAGTAAAAGATTTTTCAAGTAAAAGTCAAAAAACATGTATTTTTTTCAATTTTTCATCATATTTTTTTATTTTTTTTAAATTAAAATACATGAGATTATATAAATAATGGTATGTAAAGAAAGCCCCTTTTGTCCTGAAAAAAACAATATATAATTTGTATGGGAACAGTAAATGAGAGAGCGGAAAATTACAGCCAAACACAAACACCAGAAAAATGTAAAAATATTCCTGGTCGCAAATGTACAACATCGCAAAAACAGTCCAGTCCTTAAGGGGTTAAGATACAGTATTTTGATTGTATGGAAAAAGAAGTTCCCTGAAGAAACACAAATGTCGGTTTGGCAGGAGATTCCAAGCCACAGAGAACTTCTGTCCCATGGAATCCGGCACAATCAATAAGTCTGTTTGAATCTGAAGTTGAACTACAATCTATGTAAAAGGAGACATACAAACAGCACATACCAAGAATAATGTGCAGAACATGAGACTTGTTTTCCTGCTCTCCATCCAATCATGAAAAATGCCATGTTACAAACATACCCTGTATTTAACCAGACTGTTCCTTCTTCCTCTTGGTATTCAACAGTACTGAATATTGATGTGTCATATAAAATAACATAAAGCAGAACATATAAATTATCCAGCTCAGGGAAGTGCTGTTAATTTTAGCCCTTCAAATGAAGTACGATATATGCCAAAACAACATCTTCGTATCTGAATCAAGAGTGTCAGAAAATTAGCAAACCAGTGACAATTATAGTGCAATTTTCTAAATTTAATCAGCATGAGCATCCTATTGATTGTTATGTAGATTGCTCTTGATATTAAACCAGAAATTCTCTTAATCATTTTCTGAGAGTACCATTAAACCTGAACTTCTTCTACCTCTGATAGTCTCTAAGGAGTACTGCCAACCAACTCAGCTATAAGTAAATGTTCTAGTTCAATCGATTATTGAATTGTGAAATGTTGGATTAAATGGACTCGGACATACATTACATAGCAGGCACCCATTTAAATGAGTAACAATTACACAGATGTGCACTTATAATAAAAATAAATAAAAATAAAATAAAAATAACAGTTCCTTATCCACTACATCACAATGATATGGCCCAGAATGATTTATGTTCTGTTCTTTGGAACACAGAGGGTATCAAGTTAGGTGTAGACATGCAGGGAAGCCTACAATTTATTGTAGAACTGGGACGGGATATACACTGACCAGTCACAACGTTGAAACCACTGGCAGGTGAAGTGAATACCATTAATTATATTGTTACAATGGCACCTGTCAAAGGGTGGGATATTTTAGGAGGCAAGTGAACAGTTAGTTCTTGAGTTTCATGTGCTGGAAGCAGGAAATATGGGCAAGCGAAAAGATCTGAGTGACAAGTAGTGATGGCTAGAAAACTTGGTCAGAGAATCTGCAAAACAACAAGTCTTCTAAGGGGACTTTCTAGTATGCAGTATTCAGTACATATTAAAGTGGTGCAACGAAGGACAACTGGTGAACAAGGGTCCAAGGCTCCTTGATGCATGTGGGTAGAGTGAAGGCTTGCCCGTTTGATCCGATCACACAATAGAGCTACTGTAGCTCAAATTTCTAAAAAATGTAATGCTGGTCATGGTAGAAAGGTTTCAGAACACACAGTGCATCACAGTTTGCTGCACATGGGTGTAGCCCCAGATCAATAAGAGTGGACATGATGGCCACCGAAAGCGCCTTTAACCCCTTAAGGACCAGACTTCTGGAATAAAAGGGAATCATGACATGTCACACATGTCATGTGTCCTTAAAGGGGTCAATGGGGACATGGTCATCAGACCTGGACTATGGAGCAAGAAGGTTACCTGGTCCTATGAATCACGTTTTCTTTTAGATCATGCAAATGGCCAGGTACGTGTCCATCGTTAACTGGGGAAAAGATGGCAGCAGGATGCACTATGGGAAGAAGGCATGCCAGTGTATGTTATACTCTGGGCAAAGCTCTTGGTTCCTGTTATTCACGTGAATATTACTTTGACACATATCGCCTACTTAGAGATTGTTGCAGGTCTCATACACCCCTTCATGGCAATGGTGTTCCCTGATGGCCGTGTCCTCTTTCAGCGGGATAACGCACCCAGCCACACTGCAAAAATTGTTCATGAATGGTTTGAGTAACATAACAGAGTTCAAGGTGTTCCCTTGGCCTTTATATTCCCAAAACCTCAATCCGATTTGGCATCTATGGATGTGGTGGTACAACAAATCTGATCCATGGAAGCACACCTTGCAATCTGCAAGACTTAAAGTATCTGCTGCTAATTTCTAGGTGCCAAATACCACAGGACATTTTCAGAGGTCTTGTAGAGTCCATGCCTCGATGCATCAGTGCTATTTTGGCAGTACAAGGCAATCAGTGTAGGGCAAATATTTGAACAACAGAGTCTTTAGGGATGTGTAACTTTCTCACAGCAAATATGCCCACTTGTGCACAGCAAGAAAATTTGGTTCAGCCAAATATTTTTTTGCTAAAATTAGAAACTTTTTTAGCAGAATCTCAGTACCAAGAAACTTATTCAGGATATGAATCAGGCAGATTTTCCCGCCATTTAGTTCACAGATTAAGTGAGAAGTAAAAAAATCCAAACATATATTTATTAAATATATAATATATTTATTTATTATTCCCATTTATATAGCGCCAACAGATTCCGTAGCGCTTTACAATATTATGAGAAGGGGGATTTAACTATAAATAGGACAATTACAAGAAATCTTACAGGAACGATAGGTTGAAGAGGACCCTGCTCAAACGAGCTTACAGTCTATAGGAGGTGGGGTATAAAACACATTAGGGCAGGAAATAGCAGTCAAATAAGGTGGGAGTGAAGCAATGCTGGAGGAGAGAGTAGAGTGCTGCCCTTTAGGAGAGAGCAAGAGACAGGTATGTGGGGTAGATGTTACTCTGGGAGGCCATAAGCTTTCCTAAAGAGATGGGTTTTAAGGCACTTCTTAAACGATTAAAGACTAGGGAAGAGTCTGATGGCAGTAGGCAGGCTATTCCATAGGAAGGGAGCCGCCCGCGAGAAGTTCTGCAAGCATGAGTTGGCCGGAAGGGTGCGAGCAGCGGACAGTAGAAGGCCTCGGAGCAGAGCAGAGAGACCGCGAAGGGCCATACCTATGGATCAGTGAAGAGATATAAGAGGGGCTAGAATTGTTCAATACTTTATAGGTATGGGTTAGTACTTTGAATTGACTCCTATAGGATACAGGAAACCAATGTAAGGACTGACAGAAGGGTGAGGTGTGAGAGGACTGAATATAGAGGAAAATCAGTCTGGCAGCAGCCTTCATTACAGACTGTAGCGGGGCAATATGGCTTTTGGGAAGACCAATTAGGAGAGGGTTACACTAATCCATGGGGGAAATTACTAGAGCATGGACAAGCTCCTTAGTTGCATCTTGTGTAAGAAAGGGGCAGATGGGGGCTATGTTTTTAAGATGGAATCTACAGGATTTGGCAATATACTGGATGTGAGGCTCAAAGGTGAAGCCAGAGTCAATGACGCAAAGACAATGCGCTTGCAAGGATGGACTTATGTGGATACCACTAACTTGAGGGGAGAGCGAAAGAGGAGAATCAGTATTAAGAGGAGGAAAGACAAGGAGCTCACTTTAAGAGAGATTGAGTTTCAGAAAGCGGGAGGACATCCAGTCAGAGATCGAAGAAAGGCGAGCGATCGAAGAAAGGCGAGCAGTGACACATTGCAGGACGGCAGGGGAGAGGTCCGGGATGGAGAGATATATCTGGGTGCCATCAGCGTACAGGTGGTAGTGGAATCCAAATGAGGTAATAAGTTTTCCAAGAGAGACAGTATAAAGAGAAAATAGAAGGGGACCAAGGACAGAGCCTTGGGGGACTCCAACAGAGACCGGATGAAGGGAGGAGGTATCATTAGAAAAGGAGACACTGAATCAGCGTTGGGAGTGATAAGAGGAAAACCACTATAGGACAGAGTCACAGAGACTGAGTGATTGAAGAGTTTGAAGAAGGAGAGCATGATCAACAGTGTCAAAGGCAGCAGAGAGGTCAAGAAGAATTAGTATGGAGTAGTGGCCTTCTGATTTAGCTGTGATTAGGTCGTTAGTAACTTTGATAGGAGCAGTCTAAGTAGAGTGGAGGTGGTGGAAGCCAGATTGAAGAAGGTCAAGGAGAGAGTTGGAATTGAGGAAGTGAGACATAAATGTAAAGACAAGTCTTTCCAGAAGCTTTGAGGAAAAAGGGAGCAGGGATATGGGATGATAGTTAGAGAAGGAGAGGACGGATTGAGAGAGGTTTTTTCAGGATAGGTACTACAGTGTACTACACTATATATAAATATAGTCTGGGTTTTTTTTTACTGCTTTTTTTTTCCCACTCCATTGGTCACTTCTCACTTGATCTGTGATATAAAATCAACATTTATTGACTTCTTCCTGGCCATCAATTATCTCTCTCTTTTTTTTTTATGCCTCCGGTGGAATAACGAATTGCAAATGAAGACAAACATGCTCAGCTATTGCGGGTTTCGGTTGGTTTGATTGGCTTGATGTTCAGGAATTTGACCAATCACCCGATTCGGCCTAAATTCGGACGAATTTGCAGTTCAGACCAAAATGAGCGTCTAAGTCTACCCACTTCCATTACAACAAGACATTATATGTATTATACATATTATACTTATATATAGCAACGCGTAATAACTACTTCATTAATACAAATATCCATATAGATGTGATTTTCTGCAGAGATCGCTGGGTCTAATTGTGAGTTGACAATTAAGGCTTAGCACTTATTTTTTGGTTAAGAAAGTCGTTTATCTAATTTTGAAAAGGAACTATAGACACAGTGAAAGAGAAATACATTTGTTGTGCATACTCTGGGTAATAATTTATAGAGTTGGCTTCAGCCGCAATGTATAGACTTAATGTAGCCTTCAATATATAACAGTGAGTGACTGATGTAGTTGTCTTTAGGACTTAACCTTACTGTATACCACAGTCTTGTGACCTATTGGAATGAGGTTTTGTCATAGTTATTCAGTAAAGTGTGAATTGTCATGGCTTTTTTCAGATTCTACAGATTTTGTTTTCATTGTACTCCTGCCAATGCATACTTAATAACATACACGAATAACTAGTTTTTTTTAAAAAGCAAATGTTAAAAAGCAAATATATATATATAAACATAGAATGTGACGGCAGATAAGAACCATTCGGCCCATCTAGTCTGCCCAAACTAATCCACTATATTTTACAGGAATAAACACTACTTGATAAAATTCAGTGTGGAAGGACATATTGATTAACCTGACTGGGCACATTTGGGTAGACATGGGGTATCCTGGGCTATAGAATGTTCAATCCAAGTTTGAAATCTTACAAATTGAATGAGGGTAGTTATATACAAGAATGGGGAACGTCATCTTGAAACAGCTGAGAGAAAGTTACAATGTGCAAGCATTTATTCATTAAAATCTCAAAATACTATTTGCCAATACAGTGTGTACCTTCACTCAGTAAAATGGGATGGTATAAGACATTTCTGGGACACTCTGGAGGGAGGTGACAGTTTAACAAATCAATGAGGTGCATTAAGTCAGCGATATATGCCAGTTCAGTATAATGTGATAATTTATTTACATTAAGTATACTCCATAGAGAGACATTATATTCTAGCATCACTTAACAGTTCTCACAACAATGCAGGTGTATCCTTATTTAAACAGCAAAAAATAGCCATGACTTTTTCACATTTCCCTGGGTGTCTGCAATGACACATTAAAAAGCAATTAACTTATATGTTTTAATTACAAGTGCAATCTGACAGTGTACATGAGGCCTGCATTGCAGTGTACAGGGGTACAGCCCATGATAGGAATCACTGAGTCCAGATCCCATCATCATTTTAATCAGGATCCTGATAAGAAAAAAAATCACAGCAAATAAAAGTGTTTCTAGAGAGTGCACAGCCAACTCCTGTCTACTTACCTGTAATAATAGCATACAAGCACTGAAGGAGGGGCTGGTACCTTAACCCCCTAAATGCTGAGCTGGTAATGCGTTCTTTAATCCCTTCATGAAATATTCTTCTAGCAGTCTCCTGGTCCTTGGGTTGAAATTCTCTGATGTAAAGCTGTTCCTTAGTGACCTCCTGCTCCCCAGCTGGGATGGGGGGTACCAGTGATGAGGCAGTGGGTGCACTGGGGAGAGAGGGCCACACATGGGAGGGTGAGAGGACCAGTGGATCTCTCTGGGATAAGGATAGGGTACTGGGATTGTCAGCAAGGATTTTCGACTCGCATACCATTTTGGGAGGTAGATAATGCATGCAACTGGTCAGAAAAAAAGGCTGAATAATCAGAGAGGGGCTGCTGGGGGTCTGGCTGGTGGTCTAGTGGAAGCTTGAGTGGGATACAGGGGGAGCAGCAGAAATGTGGAAGCCAGCAGCTAGGAAGAGAAGAATAATGTGCTCTGCATTTTACTGAAGTTATTTATATTGCAGCGAAGCCGGTGCTATTGAGATCCCTGATTCCTTCAGGGCCCTAGCACCCTCCACATTGGCTGCCAGAGACCTCCATGTGATGGTAGGGGTGGGGTACCAGCAACTCCCCCATGCCATCTCCCCATCCAGCTGTAGGGGTCTCTGGGAGAATTTGGGGATGGATAATGTGTGGGATCTGAGCTCAGTGAGAGCGGAGACACACTAACTCGGTGCAGACACCAGACAGGATCCACTACCAGCTGGACGTGATTCTAGTTTAGAACGATGGGATGTTACAATGTTACAAGTGTGAGAAATGAATGCTTATCCATCATCTGCGGACTATGTAAGGGAGAGGGAGGTTACTAGCATGGCTCTATCTGTGTGTTCTGTCAGCAAGTTCTTAGAATTCAGATTTTTGCAAGGCACATAGACTCTCGGTGGTACCCCAGCTGCCAAGGTTTGTGAGGTAATATATCCCAAGATACTTAGTGACTGCCTGCACTTGCTGGGAGTCATCCTGTCTGAAACCAATGATTGTAACTCCTATCATTATTGGCTCACCTCTGCCATTGGTAGATATCTGTCTGCCAGGCAGGTGGTGATGCACAGAGCCAGCAGTGCTATGAAACCTATGTAACCTTGGGCTTATACTACATGAGCTGGGCTGATATAGACACCCCGTATTTACTAAACAGCGAAATGTTGTGAAATGAAATTCACACTGCAAAATGTAGGCTAAAATGATTAATTTGGGAATTGCCAGCTGGAATCACAGTTTAGGTATTTTAGCCTGGACTTGCTTGGTTCTCAATACAGCACATAGACTGATAATTGCAAACTGCATGTTAGGGATTTATTCACTAAACAGCAAATTACAGTAAATCTCATATCTACCAGTAGTCTTAATTGATACTTTGCACTGTGCCTGATGTATAAAGTATACTCACTAGGCTTGGGCACAGCGAATACAAGGACACATCTTGTGCCCAGTTGGTATGTGTCTATATTGCAATTTGGAGTTACTCATTTTGGACGAATCGCTGATCACCCCAAATTCAGGTGAATTATGATTAGTGGGCAGACAGACTCCTCCCACAGCAGAATGAGGTGCTCCAAGTAGTAGCTTGATTTTATCCTATAATCTTCTGCCCAGCAGGAGTTTATGAGATAGTTAGTTTATCCCCAAAGAGTAGTTCCAGTCATCACACACTATATACTCTATAAATTGATAGCAGCCATTCTGTGGTTGCAGTGAATTTAACATTAGCCAGGTTCACTGTTAACTAATTAAGTATTTTGGTATTCCTGATTGAATATCCCCCCAATAGCCCCCATAGTGGTCGTAGTCATCCCTTGTGCAGCCAAGGTGAATTATTGCTTATGTCTGGTCCGTTTCATTACTGTTGCTTTACTTATCTGAGACACATATAAAGTGGGTTTTAAATACATAATATCTATGGCTGCCTCTGCGTTATGTATATGTGTGCACGTGTTAGATTCCAGTCTGGTAATAATGCATTTTTTAATGTGCATGAGACTTCATTCATTCAATCTTACAGACATAACTATGTGTGTACTTGTACTTTTACTTTTATGGCGGATGTGTCATTTCACTTGATAGAGACAATCATCCAGAGATAAGGTTCTTTTGTTGGCTTATCCAATGAGTCAGGATGTATTACATTATAGGTTATTACTACCTGATTTTAACCCCTTAAGGACCAAACTTCTGGAATAAAAGGGAATCATGACATGTCACACATGTCATGTGTCCTTAAGGGGGTTAAAGGAGCCAGGAAATAATTATTTTAGAGCTAATCGGAGACAATGCATGTGTTTTATTGAATATGTGCATATTTAGTTGACATGTACCTTAAGGAAAAAGCTGTAGAACTTCTAAAGTTCTAAGGTACATGTGTTTTTAGAACTTGGAAACCTGTGCTGTAGAGTGAAGATACTGAGGATGGTAATATTTAGGTCTTGGCTAAAGAAAGGACCCAACAGACTCCAATGAGTCACACTCCAAGGAGGTGGAACGTTGAGTTGCCACATCTTTCACGAAGTAACAGTCGTGTGTGCGTTTGTGCTTGGCCTGGTAGTCAACAATCTCAGGGATGTGGACTGACCGTGGCCTTATTTCTCGTTGGACTGCAGTACATGAGTTTGCTCAGACTTTCAGACTATGATGAATGTGTGTTATGTCCCTGAAGATGTTTGCAAGTGATAACAGTGTCAGAGAAGACAGTGGTCATGCCACCCATAATGGGTGACAGTGGAGTCACCAATATACAGAGACTGCATCTCCTAACCATGCGCAGATCTCTCTCTGAATGTCCCATCATGCTGTGCAAACTGTACTGATGAAAGTTTAGAGATATATTACTTCACAAGTCCAGCAGCCTTTGTCACACATTTATAGAGGGTTCCATGATGGTAGGACCATAGGCTCTGTTTGCTTGGATGCCAAAAAACATGTTTCCCATCAGGCGAAAGATTAGCCAGTCTTAATTTGGATACACTAGTAGTGATGTGGACCTTAACTCCTTTCAGAGTGATGGGTGTTACATTCAACAGCATCAGCTTGTCCATTCTCCAAGATTTTGGGGTACACCTCTAAGGATTAAAAGTTCCATCATGAGGTACCACAATCCATAATCGGTGCTGAACTCTTCTGATTGCAGCTTCATTATGCGGTCATGGTGTGTTGCAAATTTGCATCTTCGACAGGGATCTGGCGGTGTCTGATAAGCATCTACAGGCATGGCTGGTTATCTATCCCTTATTTACCTATTTATGCTAAGGCAACCGTGTTTGCATACACTCTGTTAGATGTTACTGGAATATTTTGCACAAACACTTTTTGGAAACTGTTGCCCAGCCATAGTGAATGCAGAGTAACTGTAAGATCTACATTTGAGTACCCTTGCCATTAGGTATTTATATGTGAAAATACATTTTTAGTTTATAATATCCCCATCTCCCCCCCCCCCCCCCATTTGCTCATTACATATACCAAATCAGAGACTTCATTTAAAGTTCATTTTGGAATTGATTACTACCTGCAAACAGACTGTCTCTTCCATGCAAAACACCAGATGACCAGATTTATCACCGAGCTAATCAATGGAACACAAAAAGCCAACAACCGTTCAATGAACTACAGACCAACAATAATGTAGAATTGAATCAATATGTCAGTGTAACTGTCAGCTGTATTCAATGAGCAGAGAAGCTACACATGTTAAGACATAATAGATGAAATATTCCAACTCGCTACTTTTCCAGCTAAGAGAATGTGGTCTAAAATATAAACAATTCGTGTGTTAGTGAATAACCCTGAAGCTCATCACTAAAAAGAAAATTGGTAACTGAATTGCAAAATCAGACATAAAAAGTGAGAAACATAACCAACTCACCTGCAGTCATAGTTCGGCTGTTTTCGCCTGAATTATGACATTTAATTTTCATGTCGTTATGTTGTTTTTGACTAAAGTGTGAATTGCTGAAAATTCAAATTGAATTTCAAATTTAAGGCCAAACTGAAAGCATCGCTGACATGGAGAGCTTTCTTTTTCCAATGTGACTATTTCAGCCTTAAATTTGAAATTCAGTGTGAATCCCCTTTGGGTTGCCAAAAAAAAAAAAAATCTCACTTTACTGAAAAATCCAGTTTGAGTTTAAAGAGAATTTAAAGTGAATTTAAAATTTAAGGTCCAAATATCAGAACTTTAAAAAAAAGTCAGCTATGCTTTTAGTACTCTGGCCTTAAAGGACCACTATAGTGCCAGGAAAACATACTCGTTTTCCTGGCACTATAGTGCCCTGAGGGTGCCCCCACCCTCAGGGTCCCCCTCCCGCCCGGCTCTGGAAGGGGGAAAGGGGTAAAAACTTACCTTTTTCCAGCACTGGGCGGAGAGCTCTCCTCCTCCGATCCTCCTTCTCTCCTCCCCGTCGGCTGAATGCGCACGCGCGGCAAGAGCTGCGCGCGCATTCAGCTCGTCGCATAGGAAAGCATTTACAATGCTTTCCTATGGACGCTTGCGTGCTCTCACTGTGAAAATCACAGTGAGAAGCACGCAAGCGCCTCTAGTGGCTGTCAATGAGACAGCCACTAGAGGATTAGGGGAAGGCTTAACCCATTCATAATTATAGCAGTTTCTCTGAAACTGCTATAATTATGAAAAAATGGGTTAACCCTAGAAGGACCTGGCACCCAGACCACTTCATTAAGCTGAAGTGGTCTGGGTGCCTAGAGTGGTCCTTTAAATTGGAATTTTATTTTGAATTTTCACGTTAGTAAGTAAATCTCCTAAAACGTTTACCAACACAGTTATAAGACAATAGTTAAATATTCCCCAACTCAAAAAAACTTTCTCCGGAGAGAACATCAGTTACAATGTTACAACAGAAAACAATCTACATGCATAGTAAACACAAAACATTAACTAGTAACAGAGTATAGAGCAATCTCAAACATGTTTAAATATTAAACACACAAACTGATGTCTGATAACTTCAATAGTGATCATGTATATAAAACAAAGAATTACAAACAAAACATTGGGTGCAGCACTGGAACAGAACATATAGCCCTATTCACTAAATCCAGAATTTTAGCGAATTAAAAACTAATTGCAAAATGAAGTAGTAAAAAAAAGATGATTTGTTAAAAAACGTTTCAACTCAGTCATAGTCATTTTAGGCTCAATTTGCAATTTGAACATAATGCACTAAAAGTGAGCGTGAGAGAGAGATGTGCTTCTAAATCCATATCTTGGAGAATATTCTGGATGAGCCCTATGAGATGGCATCATGCTCCTCAGCCTGTGTCTGGGTTATAAAGAGACACACCAAGCTGCAAATGTCCCAATATTTAATGCATCGTATAGTTTAAATAAACAAACAAAAGGATGCATCCCAACTTCCTACGCCCATTTTGGAACCTGGTGTTTTAGGGTGATCAGTGATC